ATATATATATATTGGTGAATTTATTGTATTTCAACATACTAGACAGATATATATATATTGGTGAATGTATTCTGTTTCATCATACTAGATATATATATATATATTGGTGAGTTTATGTTTTTCATCACAGTATATACATATGTATTGGTAAATTTATTCTATTTCATCATACGATATATACATTAATATTGGTGAATTTATTATATTTCATCATACTATACATACTATATATGTGGGAATTTATTGTATTTTATCATACTAGTTGCATATATATTGATGTATTTATTGTATTTTATCATACTAGATATATATGCATTGGTGAATTTATTTTATTCATTATACTAAATATATTCGTGAATTTATTGTATATCATCATAGTAAATATAGATGTATTGGTGAATTTATTTTATTTCATCATACCATACAAATATGTATTAGTGAATTTATTGTATTTCATCATACTATACATATATATCAATTAATTAATTTATTGTATTTCAGCATACAAAATATAGATATATATTGGTGAATTTATTGTAGTTCATCATACTAGATATAAATATATATTGCTGAATTTATTGTGTTTCATCATACTCAATATATATATTTATTTATCGGTTTATTCTATTTCATCATATTATACATAGATATATTGGTGAATTCGTTTTATATTTTCATACTATATAAATATATATTAGTGAGTTTATTGTATTTCATCATACTAGATATATATATTGGTGAATTTATTTAAATTATCATATTGTTGCGTAAGCGAAGTCACATGACTAGTGTGACGTCACGTTTCTACAACTATCCTGTACCTTGGCGAATGCTCTAGCGTTTACTAGATATAGGGTAGTCTGGTATATAAAAGAGGGTGACAACGTGACGGGGAATAATGTGTGTGTAGATAGTGAGTAATTGAACTGGCAGTCAGAAGTATTGTTGACGTTCGTTGATATAGCGTTTGTTATAGAGCGACTGTTGAAAATAAGTGTATCGTAAAGTTGTATTCGGAAAGAATAAACCAGTTTTATTAAGTAAGGACTTGTGTCGCAAAGTTTCGTCGGAACGAAGTTACGGAAAATCAATTAACAAACGGAGACGTAACAATATCATTTAGAACTGACCTAGGCCTCCTGGGTCGGCCGAATTTTGTGTGATATTATTTGGTTTATTTAGTTTGTAGTTAAGTACAAAGCTACAAAAAGGACTATCTGTGCCCTATCCACTACAGGTGTCAAAACTTGATTTCTAGAGTTGTAAGTCCGCAGATATACGGTTGTGCCGCCGGGGGCTATGGGGTTTAAGGGCGAAAATAGTGTTAACAGCGAGGGTATCCAACAGATGAGACAATGAATTCTGAACAATATAAGTAATATAGTTTGAACATTATATTTAATTATCTATGCTCTTTATTAAATATATGGGAACAAATGAACACCTCTAAATGAAATCTTTTTGCAGTTTTAATTTGCACCACGTTTGGTTTGGTTTGTTTTGAATTTCGCGTAATGCTAAACCAAGGCTATCTGCGCTATCTGTCTCTACTTTAGCAGTGATAAACCAAAGGGAAGGCAGCTAGTCAACACCACCAACTCTTGGGCTACTCTTTACAAACGAATAGTAGGATTGACTGTCACGTTATAACGCCCCCACGGCTGAAAGGGCGAGCATGTTCGGTAACATTTCAGTCAAACGCCCTTCCGCCCCTTCGTCAAGCAGTAAAAACCGTGTTAGAATGGATTTAGGCTTAGGGTCTTTACTGTCTTACGAAGGGTGTCTGACCAAAACGTCGCACAAAATAAAATTATAAAAAGTTTTCATTTAGACGTGTAAATGTATTCTATGTTATCTTTTATCCAAGTTTTTCTTCTCATGTCTTATGAAACAACATTTATTCATTCACGTGTTATATATGTTTAGTATTCTGATCGATGTAGTTTGTTTGATAAGAAGTTAATATGAGTGTTACTTGATTACCACAGTAATATCTTTCCGTCGTTACCACCTTTTGTCGTTATTACAACAGTTGTAATATCTAAGACTACACATACACTTTGTGTTTTTCCTGCTGTTAACTTCCTTAATAACTTTGTATTTCGAACTGATGAAGAGCCCTTGCCAGAAACGTCATCATGTAGTTAAGAAACAAAAATTGTTGTTTTGTAACGTATTTATTAAGTATAAGTAGTATTGTGCAGGAAACGTAGTGTAAAACGTATGATAGTTCTTCTTTTTATATAAAAAGGTAACAGACTGAAATAATTGAAAATACGTATATTTCCATGTAATGTTGTAGGGTGCTTATTTGTGTGACGGATGTTGTGTTTTATAATGCTGACTTCTTTCTAATAGTTAGTATTGAGAAACATCGTCGGCGTGGCGTGGCGGTAGTATATGTTGGTAAACCATAGATATAGTATATATTTATGTAGTAAATGGCATAAAGGCTAATAGCAACAGAGCAATAATTAAGACGATAGTTAAACTATCTTCGGTTCATTTAAATTTGCTGCGATACGTAAACTGTAATCGTTTGGAGGGTAAGTTATTTGCGTGAAATCTTCATTTTTGTGGTTATGTGTATGATAATTAATTTCATATCATTATGACCTGTTGTCTCTCCTGACGTTTACGGTTTAGTTAGTTTCTGAAGAAAAATTCTAACTGATAACATTTCAAAGTAAATAATAAAGTTAATTTTATGATTATGTGCTGTTGGCGTTACTGGTACTAGCAGTAGTAAAACTAATACAAATAAAAACAAATCCCATGATATTTATTGTTTTAATATACTAATAGTATTACAGTTGCCAGAAAGTGATAGGGTAATTGTATTTGTTCGTAAAGACTATAGTACCACTACCACATGATATTGATACAATTACAAGGTTTTTGTTCTTTCTGTATGGTAAATAAAAGCAAGATAAGAGATACTTGTTAATTTATTTATAAAATTATTATTATTAACTGCCGATATTACTAACAATACCAGTAATATTGATACTGGACAACTAATGTTTAAATTCTGAATGAAATAACGTGAAATACTATATCTCTTAATAGATATATTACTCTGTAATACATTTTAAAAGTGCGTGAAGAAAGTACTTAAGCATAAACGTATGATTTATCTTTTCCTCTTAAAACATAATTATAAATAATAATCACATTTAAGTGATACCCCTCCCCTTTAGTTATGTTTTAGGCCTGTTGGTTTCTAATGTTTTGCCAGCTTTTTAAACTGAAATAATTATAAATAATATGAATGGATCTTATCAATGTCATCAGTATTTAGACTGTACCTATGTCATCATCTGATGAACTGCTCAACATTTAGTGCCATTATAGTATTGCCACTATTAGTATTAGTAATTCTGTGTTGTGAGAAATTGTGATAATAATATTAAATATTTAATTATTATACTGTTTGAAACTGGCCGTTAGTAACTGAGAAATAAGGGAAGATCATGCAATGCACGTGATAAAGTTTTAAGTAGGGTACAAGGTTTAAATGTGCAATTATCAGAAATGCTAAGGTCAGTCATCTGGCTAACAGTCTTGATTTGTATGATGATTTAAAGGTAGAGTAGCTGTTTTCTTGTGATTGTTTCTACTTAAATACATTAGGAAATTGTGCTTGGAAACACATTAAGTAACTTTATTATAATTTTTCTAATCTATTAGAGGTTAGGGTCGTTTTTGGATAGGGGGGATTTAAGTTTCTTTTTAAATTATAATGGACTTATGACAATTAGTTTTACTGAATGTGAGGGGCTTAATGAAAGTGTATATTTTTTTTTATGCATGTACTGTAAGTATCTGTAACATTGTTAGAATTTAAAAGCTTTGTCTGCTCATGTAAGTTTAAAATAAATAACATTACTTGCTCATGGTTAAATGATTACAGCAATATGATTTTTGTTTTGTTTTATAAGTTATTGGATGTCAAGAGTTCTTTTTATGGGTGTTTAAGGATGTATGTATTGACTGAACCACCCTCAACAAACAAAGGATGCTAACTGCAAAATGAAGGCCTAATTTTTACCTTCTCCTTCTAATATTCATCAGTCCACTTTTTGAGCTCATGTAAAGTTGTATCCACAATCATTTAAATGAAAATTTGTTTCACATGCTTCCTACTCTTCTGTTTGAGAAATAAAGCTGCTTCAACTGGAGATGTCTGACTTTTCTAAATATTAAATACATGACCTTTTGTCCCACTACCCTCCTTATTTAACATGGTGGTGGTTTCATAGACAGTGTAAGCAGGGGAGATATTTTATCTTTTAACAGTTGTGGTGTTTTGGAGGTTGGTAATAATGTAATGTATTGGTTAAATTGTGCAATGGGAGAGGGAAAAAGCTGCTGCTTGAGATTCTTTACTGACATTGATAGTAGTATGTATGCAGCTAATAAAAGTCAATTTTTTGTTATAGAAAACTTCAGTTGCATGAGGCTGAGTGCTCATTGATATGATGGGAAGTTGTTTCTCAACTTGATATGTAGAAAAAAAAAAAACCTGAAAAAATTCAAGATGCATCCTTATATTAGGCATTGCTTTTCAGTTCTGAGGAAAAACGTTTTAGGATTGTTATGGAAAAGCCTCTAAGTACCAGTGATCATAATATTGCCATTTGTTACTTATTTTGAGACTGTGTATAGAGTAAGTTGTGTCCCATTATTTTAGAAAGGCTCTTTTCAGAAACTAACGAGGGTAAGTTTTCAATAATATAAAAACAACTTATAAAATGGTAGATATTGCAGAATACCAAAATAACCAAAAATAAAAAAGTTAAAAAGGCCATAATTGAGGTTAAGAAGGATTTTAAAAGACGCTTGGCTTTTAATGTAAATTTGGATTTGATTTTTTTTGTACTGATATTAACACTGGAGAACACTGTACCTTTAAGAAAAGTAAAATTTATTTTTATAAGTGTTTTTTCTAAAAATAAATGAGATATTTAAACTGTTTAACATGCCTAAAGGAGATCATGGATGGTTTTTCTTAGATATTATTATTATTAAAGAAAATAATGGTTTGGGAAAGCTTAAATCTTGCATATTGAAAATACAGGATTATAATCTGGGTACCATTCTGATTGTGGGGAGGGGATATGACTACTGGCAGGGTCCCTTAAGAGTCTGTATTTGGACCTTTGTTGTTCATTAGCTATAAGATTGTCAAATGTTTATGGTATTAAACCGATAGCCTGTGATAGGTAAAGCTGATTCTTTAGAAAATCTTATCTCGCCAACATCAATTAGGACTAAGACCTGTCAGTTGTTCTGCATATCAAACTTCTTCATACTGTTCTATCTTCAAATGTAGCATGCTCTTAAACTTCTGCAGTTGATATCCCTCTCCTTTCAAGAGCACCTGTTATTCCTTTTACCCATCTCATACAAAGTTTTCCAGGTGGGCTTCTTCCTCATGGTTTTCAATTATATTTATTTGGGTATATACACACCATCTCAACTTATTTCTTTCAATAATTTCAAGTATTGATGTTGCATTTAAATCTCTCTAATTTTTGTATTTTTTCCATATATAAAGTTTTTAGAAAATGTTTCGTAAACTAGTAGCTAGCAGTCAGTGACAAATAAAATTTTGGCTGTTTTGACTGGCCATAAGTTTGCAACTTCCAAAACATACATACCTCTGCTGACACTAATAGCTATTTTTCGATCTTCGTCTTTGCCATCTAACGTTGTGTTCACTTGCTCCAGTCTTTATAAACCCTACTCGACTGCCCTCGGCAATATCTAATTTGCAGAACTTTATGCCGGCCTTCACACACCCTCTATGTTGGTACTGTATATAAGCACTGTATGCAGACAATAAAATAACTTTTTCTTGATAAAGCATGAGCATTCAGACAAACGTTTTGTAATTTACATTTTCTTAGTTTTTGCATTCTAATAATCGGGAATTTTTTTTATTTGTTATATGTGGAAGCTGTCCGTGACCTGATTTGGGGCGAGATCAAGTCCTTCATGTGGCCTGGAGGTATCTATCCGAGAAGGAATTATTTGAATTTTCATTCTGAAATGGGATATTCTAGGGAGAATTTAGACTCCCTGTTTCCTGCTCCTTCTTTCACTAGAGCTTCCTCTCCTGAGGACTCATCTGATCAGCCACCTCCTGCCCTTTTTCTGCAGTTTGTTACACATGTTTGTGAAGTTTTGGAGATGCAACCAGTTGCTTTTGAGTCTACCCCTGCTTTGTTGTCCAATCGTTCTCAAGGAGATTACTTAGTTTTCCTCCTGATATTGTTTGAGAGATTTGCAACACAATTATGTGAGGATGTCGCTATGCCTCCTCACCCCTTTATCTGAAAACAACATGCCCCGGCGTATCATCATCAGGATGATATATATTTAGACATTCAGAAGTTGGATCCGTTGTTGGATGTATGGAGTGCCAGGTATGAACCTGTTATCTCTTTTAACAGGTCACAATTTCTGTGGATTCGTTTGACTCTTAGTACAGAATCTTTAGAAGCCAGAGTTGAGACAGCATGTTTGCAGTCTTCTTTATCGTCTTTGGTTGCTTGACTCTATTCTACTTCCACTGGTACTTCTGCAGGTTCATCTCTTTGTATCTCAAGGCCCCCTCCTTCCACTCGTCATTCCATT